ACGACTGCACAAAAACCATCGCGTCGAATCACGTTCGTATGACGTATGCCCAATCCACGTGTGCGAAAAAAAAACATGTCGGTTTGATCGATGTGTGCGGCAATCACTCGTTTTGTGGGGTCATTTAAAGTTAGCTGCGCCTCGAGCGTCGCCCTCGCCACACGGCAGTGCACTGCCAGCTGTTTAGTTTCATGCCACGCCGTGACACCGTTGTCATTTCATCCACACCGAGAGATAGCAAAGCCCTACTTGCTGTACTGCCTCGTTGCAAGTACCTGTTGTGCCCCCTGCAGGAGAATGTCATGTTTCACACCGCACGGGGATCTCTGAGATCGACGATGACGCGGACCCGACGAGCAGTGGGGCGCGTCCAGAGCCCAAAGCGGGTCGCCGCGACCCAACCCGCCTTCCCCTTTCGTGGGTTCGCATCCGGAGCGTGGTTTCGTGGCGCCACCGGTGATGCGGGTCGCAGTCCGCTGCGACCTCCTGTTGCGCCGCAGCAGCGCCACGGCACTCGGCCATCTCGCCACAGTGGGGGGGGGGGGGGGGGGGGGGGGGGGAGGGTTGCCGCGGTGGCGAGGAGATGTTAACTACCTCGCCGGGTGTACAGGAGGTCGTGGATTCGATCCCGACCCTGACGCCTATTGTATATTTGGAGTTTGCATGTCTCTCTCCCCATGGTCGCGTGGATTTTTCTCTGGGTCCTCCAGTTCCTCCTCATTTAGAATCAACACGCCTTCAGAGTATTTGGCTGCAATACATTTCCACGTGATAAGCCACTTCGTTGAGCTATCATTTGTGGCCAAGTCGCTTTTGAAAACGAATTATAAAGCTCAGTGGGCCTTACCTAGTGAAATAAAAAAACGCAGTTTAATCTTAGGATAGCCTTGCTTCGGTCTTCTTTAACCGTCTGTATTGGCCATCAAACAAAGGCAGTCACCTGCATCGCGTGCTTTCAGATGCGCTTTTGCGGCCGTCTGGAAGGTTCTTCCTTCCGATATTAGGAAGCCACTGAAGCTATGAACTTTTAAATAATCTAGATTGAAAACGCATTTCTTTAGAACTGCTTTGTGTTTAGTTGTCCTTCCCCCGCACCTCCGATTAGCACGGTTGGCTACGTGCGGTGCAAACGAAGTTTCAAAGTACATACATACGTACAGCTAGCCGCTGCTACCTTTGTCTTTTGAAGGGTCAATGTAAACAGTCCCTTGGATGAGGGTCTCTCCACGCCCGGAGGGGGCAGTAGTTGGGGGGGGGGGGCGGTTATTTGACCATACTTCACGTTGGTCAGTGCCAGTCGAGAGGCATCAAGCACAGATGTGGCATCATGAGTTCGACAACGGATATTGCTGCACTTGCCCTTTGCTACCCACACAGCCCTGCAACCTCCATCACCTGCTACGCATGGTGGTCGCCCTGCTGAGTTCTGGACATGTGATGAGATCAGGCGTGTCCAAAACGACTTGGTGGCATCGTGTACTCTGACCTCAATAGGCGCTCTCTAATAGCGAAGACTGTTCCGCTCTTCTTCGACGTGGTACAACTTGTCGCGATGCACTCCTGTGAACCAGTGGCTTGAGAGATGTGGTTGGTGGATGGCAGTGTGCATGAGCTTGTATAAGGTGGTGCAGCAAGTCGGTTCTTGGTTGTGTTATAGGTCGATCGAGTTTGAATGTTCTCCTTTTGTACGTGTGGACAATCCAAGCGCTCCAGTTTCCAACCACACACACTCACAAAAGAAACATTGTGGAAATGGCAAAACATCCCTCTTCAGTATCCTCCTCCTCCTATTCTCACGGACAGCTGTCCAAGCAACGAAAACGCGCGTAACCTGACCAGTTAGCCAGGTTATAGATTCCGTCGATGTGCAATGTCACGCTTCGATTGCTTCCGCCCAGTTCCGCGAGTGCACGTTGGGTGACCGCTTACGAGGTCGACGGTCTGGTCCAGGTGCTTCCGCGATCGGCACGCCGGGATTTTATTTGAATGTCCGCTCCCAAAGAGACGTGCGCAATTTTAATTGAAGAGAACCACCGCTGTAGATGGAGCCGAAACGCACATCGAGGTATTCCTGGGCGAAGATTTCGTCGATCCGTAAGGGGGGGGTTTGGGGTTCGATAAACGCGTCGTTAAACCCGCCACCACCCGACCCAGCCACTTAGAAAGGTTTGTCACGTAAACAAAACATGCCAATTAGTTACTAGTTCAACACACCTGTGTGTTGGAGAGTAAACCCGTGACATTCACAATTCAAATACCCTGACATTTCACCGGCAAATTACAAGCAGCATAATCAGGGAGCAGCCAGGAATGAATCGCTTCACCTGGGGGTAGCTGTGCAGCCGTGGCTGGGCAGAAGCCATTACATTTATTGCCCCCAAGAACCCATTCACCCCGAGTGATGACCCTGTGCGCGAACCCTGCCAAAAGATAAAGACAAAGGTCCCCCGTGTAGCCTTAACCGATGCAGGCCGCCACAATACACAAGGGGTGGGCGGCCAACACCGTGCCCGGCTGCCTTCGTCTCCCTAGCGGCGATGTTGACGCACTGTACCAGGTACTCATTTGATGCCGAGTTGACCTAGGGGAGGCCCGGGACGAATTCAGATAATCGCCACGAGTGGGAATCGAACTCGTAGCGCAGCGCGCGAACCGCTAAACTACCGCTCCCCTGACCTTGTGTGCAAACCCTGTCACACACGCACGGACACGGCAGCCTAAACTCTAATTTGACATCAACCCATCATATTAATTGCTCACACATCAGGGAGCGATGACAAGTCTAAGAAAAATATAATTGGGGTGACCAAAATGACACCGTCTAGCACTTCATGTGTAACAGATGCCTTTAGCTGATATAGACAGACTGCATTTCTTAATCATATAAATTACACCATTCAGATTTCATTATCGATTTGATCCCAGTTGTAGGTGACGGGTTGGAGAAACACAGGCCTGCCCGTCGTGGGTTCCAACTTAACGCCCTTTGTCCGTGTAACGCGTAGAGTCGAATTGACACTCACGACGCACCATATCGTCTGCACGAGGATCCAACGCTTGCCATCGGTGCGAGTTTGTATGCAAGCGACGGTGCTGCTCGATTTGGAGCGCGTTTCTACAACCGCCACAGACGAGACGTATGTTGAACATCTTTCGCACCGTACAGAGTGAACAGTGCTAATCGGAGGTGTGGGGTAAAGACAACAAAGCAAAAATGGCAGTTCTAAAGAAATGCGTTTTCAATCTAGATTATTTAAAAGTGCATAGCTCCAGTGGCTTCCTAATATCGAAAGAGCGTTCCAGACAGCCGGAGTAACGCAAGACGGCGAAAAGGGGACCAGAAATAAGAGACTCTTGAACTGAATCATGACCCCAAATTGTTCATTGTTCGGAAGAGCTCAGTTGAGAGATCTCCAGATCCATCTTCCCCGTGCTGTACATCTCACTGTGTCTGCATCTCGTCCTGCGATCAGAGCCGCAGCGTGACATGGCAGTATATCCCTTCTCAAATGAGTGTCCGGGCGATGCTCACTTCCGCTGGTAGCTCAGAGCCAGTGGTGGAAATTCCTCATTCCTATAAATCAGGGTTGGCCTCTCTGTCGAACCAACACTTATTGAATTCCCACAAAGTGGTACAAATGTTATGCACCCAGAAGGATGATTGGCTGCCTCGACAACCAACAGGGATTTTAACTCGTGACCACCCAATTGCGAGTCAAATTCTTTGCCACAGACCTGACCAGACAATGCCACACAAAAACCTCTCTCTCACACACACACACAATTAAACTGACCACATCACTCCCGAGTGTGGCAACGCGTTGCTTAGTCATTACCATCGGCAAAAAACGAACGCGTGGGCTCCCTCACGTAACCCGGGCGCGTCAGCGCTCCAGCAACGATGACACACGTCACAAAAAAATAACCACGCAAAACACAAGCTCCTGTTACCCCCCCCCCCCCGCAACCATGAAACACGCTCCTCACAAAACACAACCGGCACTGGAGGAACCCGATCCGTTTCTCCGCGCTCTCTACTCCGTTGACGATTTTGCACAGCGCGTAGAGGTCGCCGCAGAGACAAAGTTAATTACTCGAGTGACCGCTGTGTTTTTTTTTGCATGCCGCTTGCGTCCAGTGGTGTTGGATATTGACTGGGCAAGGGCAAAATCCCGGCAAGGACTACGGTTGGCCTGACAGAATTGCAGTTGGGCAAAACAGGTGGACGGTGTTGCAGCATTTGGGTCGTGTAGAGGTGCCACTTTTCCAAGATCGAGCGCAACAAATGGGAGGTATTTGTACGGTGGCTTTTAACTCTGCAACGGGTAGCAGGCCAGGCAAGAGGCGGAGTGGGACCGGCCACTGCGGCCCGTCTCGTTGTGCCACCGCGTTCCGTGGCCCCGACGGCAATCGCTGGAGTGAAGACTCATGGACTCGGGTGGACAGCGGCAGCATGGACGGAGGAAATCCCCCCCCCCCCTCCACCGTTGGTGGCGTCGGCGCAAATCCGATGAAATCGGCATCTTGCGTCAACGCGGACCGCGCGTTTTGATCGGCGAGCCGTGCGAACAGAGACGGCCACTGCATTGCGCATTTTCAGATGCGCTGCTTCTGCGGCCGTCTGGAGTGCTCTTCCTTCCGATATTAGGAAGCCACTGGGCGCGATGCACTTTTACATCTCGAATGATTATTTAAGTAGCGACAAAACAAGCCCGATGTATGGGGGCCCGTGTTGCGTAAGGGGGGGGGGGCGTGTTGTGTGTGGGGGCCCATGTTGTGTAGGGGGGGGGGGGCTGGTGTTGTTTGGGGCCGTGTTGTGTTGGAGGGTCCGTGTTGTGTGTGGGGATCTGTGTTGTGTAGGGGGGGGCTGGTGTTGTTTGGGGCCCGTGTTGTGTTGGAGGGTCCGTGTTGTGTGAGGCCTGGGGGAAAATGGCTCGGCCTAGGCCTGAATGGCCAGTGATCAGGATACTTAAAATGGCCGTGACTGAGAACAGGTGAGGTGCAATTGGACAAGTGAATTTATTATTTTTGCAAAGACGACAAACAGCAGCAATCATTAAATGGCTCCACATCGACAGCGCGCGTTACTATAATTTACACACTCATATGTTTATTCGCTTAAGCTTTCATTAATTAGCTGCATAACTTTTCGACATTTGTAGACACTTTTTCTGGTTCCTTGTGTGTGTCCCAGCATTTGTCCTGCCCGGGTGTAAACGATCGGTGTTCTCTGTGGACAAACTGAAAGGTGGCGGCGCTCTTACTGCGGAGAGCCCGACTCCATGGACAGAATCCGGTCCAGATTCCTGCATTATAAGCAGCCGCTGTCACCGCGTGAGTGTGTGTGAGCATCTCCGGAGATTTACAACAAAGATACAGAAGCGCACAGATAGAGATACAGACACACAGACACGACAAAGCATGCACACGCACATAGATACAAACACAAGCAGGGAAATACAGACCCACACAAATACACATATACAGACATGACAAATCACGCACATGGATACAAATACACATGCAAATACAGATACATACACACAGATACAAACATGACAAGGCACACACACATACAGATAAAGACATACACAAATAGACACAGATACAGACATGGCAACGCACCACACGTAGATACGGCATTAACAAAGGTCAAAATCAATAATCTCCTGAACAGCCTTGAACAAACAATTTGGGGAAAGTGCTATTAGCGAGCACCTACTAAGGCTAGAATAGTGCACGAGTTGGTGTAACCTCATTATGCCTTTGGCTCCCCAGTGCTTGTTTGCCCACTGCACCAGGTGCAAGCCTTCACGCAGTGCTCACACACACGTATAGATATACACACGTATAGATATACACACGTACCAACACACGTACCAACACAAAGACAGAGTGGGGGTCTCCATGTTGTTGTACACTGTCGAGGCCGCTGTTGCGGCGTGTACATTACTAAGGCCGGCATGGCACGCAGGTAGACAGCGGGGTCAGAGCAATGTGCACCTGACCACCCATAGAGCACACCCTGGAATTGGGTCAAGCTAATTTTACACAGAGTTGACCTAGTGGAGGTCCGCGTGGAGATTAAAACTCACTTGACCAGCGGAGTTAATGTGCACCATGGGCAAGGAATTTAACCCAGGTTACCAGGATATCGGTGCGGTGCGCGAATCTATACAACGCCACGGCCTGCATACACACAAACATCGTCACACAGACGCGCGCGCGCACACACACGGAGGTAGCCGGTTGCCTCAGAGAGCCGGAGCGGAGCGGCTACATCACTGGAGCCCCCTTCTATTGTCCACCCTCGACCACCAGCTTGTTGACCGAGTACAGATTGCCCACCACCACCTGCACGCGCACACACACACGCACACACATCTCCCATGTAGCCTACATAGATTGTTAGGGCAATTGCAGTTAGTGAGCACTTATTGAAGCCGTAATGACACATGACGGGGGGGGGGGGGGGGGGGTGGTCAACAAGACGCCCGAGGCCGCCTTTGTCTCCCCAATGCTGATGTTTACACACTGCAATGGGTACTCATTTAAGGCCGAGATGACCGTGGGGAGGGCCCAGGCCCGGTTCAGATATTCACCACTGTTATTAATCTTGAGCAGAAATCAAATTAGATTCGCAGCGTCTGTAGAGAGTGCTCTAACCACTACACTACCGCCTCCCCACAAAGACAAAACCCCCCATGTAGCCTTTAACAAGAATGTTGGGGCCCAGTATCGTTATCGAGAACCCATGAAGGCCAGCGCCACGCATGAGGGCAAGGTGTGGTTAACAGCACAGACATGCACCTGGCCGCCTTTGTTCCCCCCCCCCCCCCCCCCCAGGTGCTGACATCCAGATCACGCGTCCCGCCAGTGCGTGAGGCATCACGGAGCCAGGCTGGCTGCTCACCGGGTTAGCCTCGCTGGCGACGCAGGTGAGCACGTGACCCCACGCTCGGCGAATGAGCACGCGGACGACAAGACCCACAACCCCAGCCACACGCGCGGTAATGGTTTGGTGCGTATTCAGGTGGCCCGCACCGTGTCACCATTCAAGGAGCCTCCAGCCAACGTCACCGACTACTCCAGCTCCACGTGCCCCGTCGCCCCGAGCGTGCCGCGACACACACAGACTCGCGAGCCCCGCCTTGCCGTGGGCACCCGCCGCTCATCGCCGCCAATGCGTTCAGGGCTGGCCACACGGGCACCATTTGGGGAGCCACGGTGGTGAGATGTTGACTACCTTGCCTGGCATACAGGAGTTCGTGGGTTCGATCCCCTCTCTCTCCCCGTAGTCGCGTGGATTTTTCTCCGGGTCCTCCAGTTTTTCCCTTCAGACTTAGAATCAACATGAGTCGTTTAGAATATTTGGTTGCTATATATTTCCACATGATGAGCCACTTCGTTGAGCTATGATTTGTGATGGCCAGGTCGCTTCTGAAAAAGAGCTATGCAGCTCAGTGGGCCCTTACCTTGGGGAATTTTATTTATTTATTTTTAGTTTAGTTTAAAGCCGGATCCACTCGGCTCGCGCGCTTTGCGATAACGCCGCGTGACCTCGTGACCTCGTGACCTCGTGGCTGGCGCCAGCAGTGGCCGGGGGGCTCAAGGGGCTCAGAGAGAATGATCCGAGGGTTCGAAGGCCGAGTTCAGCCACCCCCACCATGGCTCCGATTCCGCGCGGCGAGAACTGATGAACGGCAATGGCAACGCGCGTGTTTATACCGGAATTCATCGCTTTTATAATCAAGCCAATTGGTTTCAAACCCCCCTGTCCACAGGATATTTTAACAGGGGACGTTAATGTTCATTATTGGACTCCCTAATCCACCAAGTGGAGGAGGAGGTGGGGACAGGGGGGTGGGGGGGGATGGAATCCTCGACAAAATCTCCTGCGGAACCATTTCCTAAAGCGGGGCTGCACTGCCGCCACGGATTCCATGTCCCTCGACACGAAAGCAAGGGGGGCACAATTTAGAACACGTGTGGGGAGGGGGGGGGGCGGTACATTTTGTTTTGCCAAGATGCAAACGAAGAACCACGTCGAGCAACGAGCGCCAGCGTGACGTGGAGAGCGTTGAGCCCCATTAGCACGGCGTGGCTACGTAGGGTGCGAGAGGTTCAACGTTCATACACACATCAACAACAACAACCACATGCACATTAACATGCACATTAACAACAACACGCACATTAACAACCACATGCACATTAACAACCACATGCACACGCACATTCAAGGCGGTGGGGGCTACCGTCTCGCCGAGACCCCCCCCCCACCCTTGGAAGGAGGCGTCTCGACGAGGGCCCTAAAACGCGGAGCTAAAAATAGCCCCCCACCCCCCGGGAGTCGCCGGCACGCGGCGCACGTGACGGCGTTTACAAACGTGGCCTGGGCGCCGGGGGGGGGGGGGGGCCTCTCGCATCCCCCACCGCTGTCGCGGTTCACCAACGCGGCACTCGCGAGGCGGAATCGAGAGCCGCAGTGAAGCCCACCCAGCGAGTGGTGGCGGCATCGCGAGTCACCGCCGCCTGCCCACAGTGGCCGCGCTCTCTAAGCCACGACAGCCCCGTGCCGCGGCAGCGTGGAATCCCAGCAGTGTGGAGCGGGGAGACGCGTGCGGCGTCGGGGTCGGTCGAGGTCCTCTCCTCTCCGTGTCTCGGTGGATACTCTTCTCCCACGAGTGTCTCCGTAACGGACGGCGTCTGTCCATTGCTCTCAGGAGACAATTCTCTCCCTGCGCTGCGCTTCGAGCGACGACGCCAAGGGGCGGCCCGGTTGGAGAGGCGCGGTGCACAGTGCCAGTCCACTCTCGCGCAGCACCTCCGTCCGTGCGCACCACGTCCCTATATACAACGATTAACTAAACTATTTATATTTTACCAAGGCAAGACCCACCAAGCTGTATTGCTTTTTTCAGAAGTGACCTGGCCACAATTGATAGCTCAGAGAAGTGACTCATCATCATGTGGAAATTTATAGCAGCCAAATACTATAGAGGCATGTTGATTCTAAATGTGGTGGGAAAAACCGGAGGACCGGAAAAAATTCCACGGCATCCGGGTCGGGATCAAACTCACGACCTCCTGTATACCAGGCGAGGTAGTTAACATCTCCTAGTCGCCGCGGCGCCCGATCGTGAGGAGTCCGTGCAAACGCTCATCCCGAGGATGGCCGACGGGCAACTAACGAGCGTCCCCGACCCCCGGGACCGCGAGACGCGCAGCCAACGGCAATCCACGCCGAGACCGCGGCGAGGCGCTCACACAACCTCAACTCACGCGGGGGGCGAGGGGGGGTCCACCGCTCGGCATCGTGGGATTCAGCAAGCGGGATCGTCTCGCCGCGGGGTCGCACCGTTATTTTTTTGAGATGTGAAATTCACCACAGACCCACCCCCACCCACCCGCCAGTTTGGGATGAGGAAGGCCCATTAAAGCCACGACTTGAAGAGTGGGTGAAACTGATTTTCTTGATAAAGATAAATACCTACAGACGCGATTCGAACCGAGGGTCTCCGCATCATCGGCTCGGTGTTCCCTATGCAGGTATCCTTGTAATAGTCCTGGCCAGGTGTGGTGGCGAGTGGCTGAAGCAAATGGGTGGGTCAGTGAGCCAGTGAGTGAGGAAGTGTGTGAATGAACAGCTGACTGAGCAGGTGTGTTCGGCAAGCTAGTGAGCATGGAAGTGAGCCAATAAGTGAGCGAGTGCAAGTCAGCCAGTGGGTGATGAATGAGTGAAGCAGCGAGTGAGTATATTTAATCACAATTACCGAGGACAGCAAGTCTGTGGTAGGTGGGTGCGTTATTGTGCCAGTGAGAGTGTGTGGACAAGTGACTGTGTGAGTATGGGTATGGGTCATGTAGCCCGCATGCCCAGCCACCGCATGCCTAAACAGCTTTTGTTCGGCCGGATCGAGGGGGCTAAACGGGCACGGCACGGGCTAGGGAAAAGATGGAGTGATGTGGTACAGGAGGACGTGGAGCTGAGTGGACTTGCCGATGACTGGTACCAGCGGTGTCAAGATCGGCCTCTGTGGTGGAGGCTTGTGAAGGACGCTACTGGGCAGTTGGAGGCAGTCGCCCTCCAACAACAACGGAGGGCGGAGGAGCGACGCTCACAACAACGAGTGGAGCACCGGGTGGCTAAAGCACAGCAAGTTGGTAGGGGGTGCAGGTGGTGCATCAGCCAGTTATCTCGATCATCTCAGTCAGTCGACCTGTGGCATCTGGCTTTGCCCCGTGACCTCCTGCCAGTGGGCGTTCGACACTTCACGTGGCCTCAAGGTGCACATAGCCTGGCACAAGCGTCGTGGTGACGTCACCGCCACTTAGTGGCGAATGGCGGTTGTTGTGTGAGTAAATTGGTGGGTGGGTAAGCAGGGATGTGATTGAGCGAATGTGCGAGTAGTAAATGAGAAAGTGAAAGCGGTGAACCGAGTGAATGGGTGGGTGCAGTGCGCTAGTACGTGGATGAGCGAGTGATTGAATTGGTGGGTGGGTGGATGAGCGAGCAAGTGAAAGTACGGGTGGGTGGATAAGTGATTTAATTGGTGGGTGGGGGAGCGAGCAAGTGGGTGGGGTAGGTAAGTTGGAGAATGGGTGGGCAGGTGTGTGTTTGGGTGGGTGGGGGAGTTGAATGGATGGGCGGGTGGGATGAGTGACCGGGCAAGTGAGCCAGCTTGTGTGTGGTGGGTGTTGACAGGGCCATGAGTGGTGCACGTGCCCACACAGTGCCCACGCCGTGGCCACGCCGTGGCCACGCCGTGGGGCCCCTAATTTAACCACCCCGGCCACGCCACTCCAGTCCTCCTGTTCCGTTTTTGTCTCGACACCGAGGGCACAGAGGGCACGGCGTGGCACGGCGTGGCACGGCGCCAGATGAACCCTCCTCACCCCCACAACCATCTCGGGGTTCACGCGGGTCCAGCACCTGCCCACTGGTGTGTGCGCGCGTGTCCGAGTGTCAAGGACGCCGCGTCCCTCAGTCGGAGAGCATCTCCTCGTGTCATCTCAGCTCCATCACCACCACCAATATCACCGTTAACAATATCATTGTTACCAAAACCATGTCTGTTATGATGCCAAGCAGGTAGTAATCACAGCACAATACTGATAGAGAGTCTTGAGACCCAGGGAAACTTCCCTCAATAAACAAATGGCATTGTTATTATTGTTGTTGTTGTTCCTCCAGGTTGAGCAAAATAAGCACTGGCTCGCGATTGTGCACCACTTGGCAAGACGGCACTCGGGTTTGTCGTGTTCAGGACACACTGGTCCCCACCACTGTAACGTGGAATTTCCACCAACTGGTGGCACCAAGACAACCCCCCCTCCCGTGGAGCGGAACA